AATCAATTACCTCAAAAAATTCTTGTATATATATATATATATACATATACATGTACATATATATATATTGAGTTATTATATTTCTTTCTAATCAATATATATTTAGTACCTTAGTCTCAATATTTTCTTATTCTATTTCTTTGTAATCAATTTTTGTATTAATAAAATCAATAACTTCAATAAAAAATATATATCAATAACATAATTTATCATTACAAAAAGAAAAAATTAAAATAATAACAGAATACATGAAATTTATAATAATTTGATCTCATTGTCATTAAGAGTTTTGAAAATATACCTAAATTTGAAGAAGCAAGGTCTATGATGGCTTGCCGTTCCTCCCTTCTGCTTCAGTTTTGAACTTCCTGCATTGTTTTTCAAACTCTCACTCTGTCTCGATCGACAAATAACCTTTCTACGCTTTAAATGAGCTCCACCTTCAATCTCATCAGTATTACTTGATGATTGAGATGGAGAACTGGCAGAAAGAGAGTATGAAGCATCATCAGAATTACTTTCACTATCTAAAGCAATTCTTTTTTCCATCGCGTTTGGACACATTAGTCTGCCTTTTTAGACCGCATTTGGCCACATCCCTTTTTTTTTTTTTTTTTGTTCATCTCCCTTGCCTTTGGTGCATTTTTTTTCCTTTTTTTCAACGCGCTTGGCCACATGCTTAATCCTTCCCATTTGATGTTCCTAGTTTATGAGTTCATAATGAGATGTTGCACTTATAAAAGCAGAGATCATAATAAGACTTTAAATAAATTTACAAGCTCAAAAGTTAAAAGTTACAAGCTTAAAAGATCATACTATTTGTATTTTATTTGAAGTTAAAAGTTAAATTTTATCATATCAAAAAAGCATCCAAAAAAACACAATCACATGTTAATTTAAAGAGGATTTTGAAAGGGATTATGAGGTATTTGGCTGTCAACAATTTTCACTTTTGTATAATTGCTTTTTTAATATTTGGAAGAAAGAAAAAAAAAAACAGATGTGTTTCTTTTCATAATTTTTTTAAACATCAAGTATTTTGTTTGGTACCAAAGTAATTGAAACATTATAAAAGAATTCCATGATTCACTTTTAGAGAATAACTAAATTTATTATTTCTTTGATACATGGGAATAAAAAAAAAAAAATAGGCTATGACTATTTTCATTATGTTTCCAAAAATAATGAGACGTGGCCAATTTGCGCCCACAAGAAACTACACTGCAGGGGACCACATGAAAAGGGACAGCAGAGGATTTGCGCCCCAATGAACCATCTCCTTTTTCATTGTCCTATGGCTAAGGATGGATGGCGGATATTTTTGGTGTTCAGTGAGTCATGTCAGATTCCACAAAGACCATGCTCGAAGCTTGCAGTGGGGAGTCGAGTTAAAATGAGTTAATGGCAAAATTTAATTTCAAATAATATGTTGAATTGAGTTAAATTTATGTGTTACATTAGTTAGTTGGCACTATGTGAATACTTGTTTTTTAGAGTGAATGTAGAGTTATGTTGAATTGAGTTAAATTTATGTCTGACATTAGTTATTCGGCATGGGACAGCTGAACAAAGTGACTACATTGTTTTGGAACGATCTTATAAAGTGCTTAGAAGACATGAATAAAGAAGTCTTTGAAGTTGGGGTTTATGAATTTTTATCAGTATTGCTATTTCTATTTCTATTAGTATTTGGAATTGGTAAGGTTAGGTACAAAGAAAACGTGGAAATTGAAAGAAAATTTGGATTCTTGCACGATTTTAGAATCCAAAAAAACCAGTTATATCATCTCAATTGCAATGCATGTGTGCCTGAACGTGCAGCATAATTGGCAAGGCCTTTGGGTCGTCCCTTACATCTCTAGTCTGAAATTAAACATAGACAATGGTACAAGGGACTCACTTGTTTTGGTTTTGTCGTTCTTCTAAGAAAATCTTGTTGCAAAATTGAATCTTCTTCCCACTATTTATGCTTTTCTTTCTCTGTTCGAAACTCGAAAATGTCTAATTGATGGTGAGAAGACTGTTATTGCCGAAGCACAAGCAACACATTTACTGTACCACGAGACGGCGCAGCAACCCGCCGGTGAGATGACTGCTATTACCACGCCAGAAAAAGAAAACAATATTTTTCAGACCTCAAACACCTAATTTGACCACACCACCCAAGTGCAATTAACATTGACTCAAATCCAAAAACCTACAACCTACCAAATTCGGTAACACCAACCCTACAAATCACACCCAACTCAGCCAAACATGGCTACCACCGAAACCCAAAAGTGAAGCAAAACGGTGACCTTCAAATCGTAGCCAAAGAAGAACCCAGAATCACGGCGCCGGAATTTAACGCACAACAAACCAAGGCCGGCGAAGATCACGACCAACAAACCCGCTGAATTTTGACTTTCCTTTCATTTGTTCAAAAACTAGAGAATTTAGGGTTGGGTGACCTTCAAACCGTGGCCAGAGAAGAACCAAGAATCACGGCGCCGGAATTTGACGGCACAACAAACCAAGGCCGGCGAAGATCGCGACTAACAAACCCGTTGAATTTTGACTTCCCTTTCTCTGTTCGAAACTCAGAGAAGCTTCTCCTCTTTTTCATTTTCTTTTCTTTTTAGGGTTCGTGTTTTGTTTGATTGGTTTAGGGCTAACTTTTTGTTTAATAGGGTTAGCTTTTATTTCTTACACTACTTATTTTTTTTCCTTTTATGTAATAATTTACAATATAAATTAACGAAAAGAGGATGTTAACGGAATAATCTGTCTTGTATCATTATAGTGGAGCCCACACACATATTATAAGCTGAATCAGACGTGGCCAAACCAAGGCCTTTCATCAACTCACTGCAGGGGACAGCAGCAAAAAATACAGCAGAGGATTTGCGCCCAGTCTGACAATGCATACAATAACATACAACCCATTACATCATACCTAACGTGATATAATAATCAAAACCATATTGACGTTGTAGTTCTAACACGTAATATACATGACACCCAACTAGTTGCAGGCAAGTTTCAATAGTTTTCATAACTAGTTTCCAACAATATTTTGAGCAAAATAACACAAAAGAAAAAAATTAAGTTCTGTGTTTTCCTTATAAAAGAACAAAAAAGGAAAATTTATGATGAAAAATGAAAGTGAAGTGAAGAAAAATGAAATCAAGTTTCCACCATTAATTGGTTAGTAGAATTTTTTTTTTAAAGAAAATTTTGAAAAAATATTATTTTGTTAGTTTGAAAGGCATGAAATAGAAAAGAAAATGACTGCACTTACCAAAACAACCCTATAATTTCAAATACTAAAAAGAAAAAAAATTGTTTTAGATGGTCCCCTCTGTATACCGAATTATTTATCTCCATATTTAGCAAAATAATAGTAATAATAAATTTGATTATTTTTAATAATTATTTATGTTAATTTTTAAATTGTTTATATTGAAAAAAGCTTCATAACACGAATATTTAAAGACAAACTTACACCTAACTGCTAAATATAACTGATGATCAATTTCTGCTAAGTACAAACAATTATTTAAAAGGAAGGTTTGTGAGTACCAACTAAAAAAATTGATCTCAATAGTATAAATACTCCGGTCCATGTAACTTTGTAATCAAACTGTAAAGCAAATTTAATCGGAGGAAACCTAGAAGGGAAAGTACAAATACTTGAACTTTCTGATAGCAGCTTACCAATAACAGTCAAAGTGATGAATTTAAATATATATATATTTTCCTGAAAGTCTGATGTGGACACCAGAAAAATACTGAGCACCCAAACGACCACCATTTTTGTATATACAGGTATTACTTGTTTTCACAAAGGAAATAAAATTTGATTGCATAAAAAATGAAAACTTGTGCTAAAAAAAATGGTATTTCTATGCACAAAAATATTATTCTAAATGCACAAAAGTGATACTTTTGGACACTTGAATGAATAAAATGAACATTGTTGTTATTATTTTTTTTTTCATGTTCGCGTTTCCAGAAACTACATTTTTTTAAAAAGGAGACTTTGACTCCATGTATTTGCAAGTTGTGCTCGAAAAGCCCATGTATTTCCCAACTTAGAAGCTAGATGCATATACATATATTTTAATACAAATAAATGTTGAATTGTTTTTTTCCCCGATGAATAGATAAATGTTGATCTTAGAACCAAGATGCTCCTAAACCCTATAAGTAAAAGATTGTCTTTTCAATTTCCTAACATGAATGCAGAGGTTAGATGAATCTCACACCTAAATGGTAAATACCCGAGTAAAGTATAGACTATAAAGCCAGGATTTCAAACGGTATAAACTATAAAGCTATAATACAGCGCTATATGCAAGGACAATAAATCCTTAAAAGTTGACCTCCGCATCATAAGCAAATATATTGTTGTATATGCAACATTCAAGAAATGATGAATCATCCCACTGTTTTAAAACATCATGGGCTAGCCCTTCCACTATTGCAGGGTCTGGAAAAGGCCTTATATGTAGAGTTCAAACTTCAACCCACCCTTGCATCAAATCCCACCTTCATTATTTTAAAACAATATTAACCTTTTATTTTCATCAATTTACTGACCAAATTAACATAGGCATTTGTGTTTGGCAACAATCCCAAACTGATTCTGAAGAATGCTGTCCCCAATAACCCTTTAGATAGTGGTAAGAAATAGGTTCCCATGAATCAACTATAGAACACGTTCTAAACAGCACTCAGTAATAATGGCCGACAAATAGGTAAGCTGCAAGAAATCAAGCATATTAGATGGCAGGCCGACTAGAATTGAGTATAGCCAAAATTATAAGGGCTAATCATGGAATCTAATGGTGCTATATAAAGTCCAGTTGAAACTATAAAACTGTACATACAACGAAAAGACTTGTATGGGTAATTAAGGACAGCCAACCTGTGGAGGAAAAAGTTACCAAAGGTTTTCACCCAAACAAGGCTGGTCCCCAATAATTGGGAATTTGAGGACTACCGTTGGTTAATGAAAACTACAATCTACATAATGTTCATACATGAAATCAGAAGTTAGTAAGGGGCCGAGTTAGTTCTGCGAAGTTGATACTGCTGCTCCGGAGGTGGCACGCACGCACGGCAATACCTTCTCCACCTCCTGCAGGGAGAAACCACAAAGATTATAAAGGAAAAAAAAAAAAAAAAAAAGAGGAAAGAAAAGTTTTATTTTGAAACATAAAAAAACAGAGGCAAGTCTTACATGTTGGGTCTTTAGTAGTAACATGATTTAACAATAAATTATTGGAAGTTAGTAACAGCAGGAAAGACCAAGGGACGGAAAGCATACCAAAGGAATTTTCCCTGTAAATGGGACTCAAAAGGTTGGCAGCAAATTGTATATCATGTCCACACAATATACCAGAAAAGATAATAACGGATTCCTAAAACTGGCATCATACACATGGTCACAAGTGGCACAATGATATTGTTACGACAAACACCGCGAACCAAGAACAAACCAAGAAACACGACAAAAAAGTAAACACACCACATACAAAGAACACAAGGATCTATGTGATTCAGCTTAAACCTAAGCTTACGTCCACGGTGAAGACCTAGTGAAAGATTTCACTATACAAAAATGAGGAGTTTACCTAAACCCTAACTCTTTCTCTGGATTTCTTTCCTGTGATTTTCAATGTTCTCTCATTACTCACAAACAGGGTCCAAGACCCGCAAGTGAAAACGCATACAAAATTAGAACAAAAACCTCACTGGGTCCAAGACCCGCAGGCCAAAACAAAATTCAGACCACAGCATCACAAATACTTTTTCATACATAACAAAAATATTATTTTAATGACGAAGTAGTGGAATAGTAGCATATATATGATAACAATCATTACAATATCGCAAACTTCATCTTCTAAATTATGTCAAAGTAACTCCTAGTATATAAATTAGAAATTAATTAAAGTCCTAAAATAGTCATACTTAATATATATATATATATATATATATATATATATATATATATATTTAAATATAGTTGTGTCCACGGCATAATTGTGTTATACATTTTTAGAACTTCAAGTGCCGAGTTATCCATGTTGTATCGTGTTCATGTCTGCACTACTTAGCCAATGGTGATGACTTATGATTTGGAAATAATCCCGAATTAAGTTGCGAAGTATGATTAACCAATTTAGGAAAGCACTGCAAATTAAAAGTGGAAAATTCAAAGGCACTGCAATCAACTGATAAGCATACATCACATCACATTTGCAAGCTTTTGATTTTCTCTCTCACATTAAAAAAAAAAAAAAAATTCTACTACCATTGGACAGACATAAAATAATTCTTTATGGACAGATGAAGTTATGGTATGACATGAAATCACATGATAGGAACGAAAAGCACAAAAACGGCTTGGGGAAAGATGATAGAGCTACCTTCTGTTTCTTAAGCCTTTCATTTTCTTCTTCTAAACGCGAAACCTTGTTCTCCAGCTCATGTGTGTAAGCCTGTCCATCAACATATACATCTTATAGGCATGGAAAAAGAATGAGAATCACAACCTAGTTGGAAAAAACAAACAGACACAAACTTTTAAAATGCAACCTGTTTCCTTGCTCGTGACCGGGCTGCAGATTCCCTGTTCTTGATCATTCTCTTCTGCCTTCTTTCAACAGTCTTCTCAATTACATCTCCTGGGGCAGCCCTTTTGTGTCCAGGTGTCTGAGTGTCCGACTGTGTGCCCATCAGAGTGAATGGTGACATGCTCATTTGGGTTTCAGGGGAAGCTGCATCCATAAGTGGGTTTGTAGTAAGAGGCTGTTGAATTGGGTGACCTGGAATAAAAACAGCCAGCATATTCTGCTGCTGTGACAGCGGATGAATTGAGGGAAACTGGTAGTGCATCCACTGAACTTGCTGGGGAAAATTTTTTGGGGGCAATGCAACTGGATCAGGTCCTAAAAGAGGACTAGAGTTTTTCTTCCCTGGAGAAGATACAGCAACCACCCGAGTCTTTTCCAAGAAGTCCTCCAGTGTAATCTCGCCAAGAGCGGGTCGTATATCCTGGGCTTTCCTATCAAGATTATTCTTCTGCCCTTGTTGAATAATATCCTGCCACACCTCATCAACAGTCTTCTTGCTCAGATCCCTAGAAAGCGTAAGACTCAAGTGCCGATGCAGGGAGGAGGCAGAAGCAACACTACATACTCCCTGATTAGCTTCTGCGCTCCACACACTCTTGAGAAGCTCATCAAGATTCATGCTGCTCAGAGGTTTCCCCAAATCAGCTAACCTCATCCAGTGTTAGGCTGTACAAGGAGCCTTGTTGAGTCAGTGCAAGCGACTTCGGCTCTTGGGTTCCTCCACCACCACCACCACCACCTTTAGATCCTGTCGTCTGAGTCCCCATTCAACAGCAATAGATTTTTACAGTAATCAATCGGGAAATTATTTATTCACTCTTTTAATCTTCAATCCCAAACTCACGGAAGAGAGAAAAGTCCACAATCATACCAAATGGATTTGAATCCTCGAAAAAAAACCCATTAAGTGTTTGGACTCCAAACAAAAACCGAATAGCCATCGATCACTACAAAACCAACCAAACGAAAAAAAAAAAAAAAAAATCACATACCCACGCAGAGAAAGATGAAAAAGAAATAAAGAAGATAAAATCAGTAAGAAACAAAGATCAAATAAAGAAAATAAATACATATGGAAAATGTATAAAGTAGAAAATACAGCGGAGATTCACCAGAATCGGAAAAAAAGTTGGAAAATAATATCTTCAAATCAATCAGCTTGCATGCAACAACCAACACATCTCCAATATTCTGCAAAGAAAAGAAAACCTAGAAATCATTCTGCAAGAAACTAGTGCTCGATCTAAGATATGTACGTAGATTGTAGAAACGCAGGAAACAGTCCCACATTCTATTTTGGGACTTTTACAATAAAGAGGTCTTAGTGTAGGTATATTACCCATAGCCAAATGTAGTTTGCATATTTACAAATACATGAACTAATGATCTAAGTTTTATTTTAGCCCTTTATTAAGCTGAATTTATATTCTCACCTCTAGGAGTTTAATTTATGCACAATTTACCTAAAGAATAACTTATTCAAATATTATAATTTTGTCAAACAGCACTTAGTAACTGCTACATAATGCTAGAATTAGGAGACACAACACGTAGTCTACAAAGAAGAATTGAAGAACTTAGATCTAGAATTATATTAATACAAAATATTTTAGAAGTTAGACGGCAACGATTTTAGTTTATGAACAGACTTGACTTTAATAATTTAGATACTTCTATAAAACGATTAGGAGAAAACTTAGATTATATTAAAGAACAAGTAGTACAGAATTCTAGTCCAAATAATTTAGACATCAAGATAATATTAGTCTGTCTGTGTGTGGTGCAATTTAAAAGTAAAAGAAAAAAAAAAAAAAAAAAAAAAAAAGGTGGGACCCACTCCAATTTTAAGTCTATGGAATGGGTAATGGGTCATTACAGACCCACGGTTTTTTTTTTTTTCTTTTCTTCTCTCTCTCGATTTACTCCCTCTCTGCCCGCTTGCTTTTCTTTTTTTTCTTCTACACAATTAAGCTTGATTTCTCCCTCATTTCTTGGCGGATTTAGGTGCCGTTTGAGGCAAAACGAAGCCCACGACGAGCTCTACGCATCCATACGAACAATTCCAGATTTGGTGCCCTTCTTGGAGTTCGAATTTCAAGACCCATTTTAAGGGTTTTGTGCAAATTTGAGGTAGGGACACCTTAATCCACTACCTTCTTGTTCCATTGTGAGTTATAATCATTTGTTGTGCCAAGCATGCTTAATTAGAAGTTAATTGTATCAATGCTTATTTGAAATGTTATCTAGAGAAATTCATGTATTTGAATGTGAGTTGTTTTATGTGTAAAGCATGCTTAAATGTATTTTGTTATATCTTAATGTGTTAATAATTACTTGGGAGATGTTGAACATGTTGAATGTTTAATTTTATGGTGTAGAATTTTAAATGCCATGACATTGAATGTATGGAACATATATACATGCACATACCATTGGGTTTGCATGAAATGGGAGAAATTCTTCTTGAAATAAATATGGGAAATTTCAGGGAAGTGTTTTTGATGAAATGGTTTTATACGAAACCCGGTTGCTGCGGGGTTACCAACGGGCCGGAGGTTAATATAGCCTAGAGGGGACTAGGGAGTCGCCCTTGCGTGGTTGAGCTAGCTGGGCCCCATAATGACGCCGCGGGGTTACCAAGGGTCAGGGACACTAGCCAATCCTCCTCTCGTGTCGCGGCGGGGCTACCAAAGGGCAGGCTGTATTAACAGTTTGGAAATGATGTTTTGGATTATGAAAATGGGGAGCGACACTAGCATGCATTGCATCTTATACCATTGCATTGGATATACTTGACATTGAATCGTTATGCTGTATTATTTCCCGACATTGTATGATCCCCATTTCCCATTGGCCTATGCTTTGTTTGGATTCACAAGGACACAAGATGTGTGTCTTAAGTGTCACCTGCCGAGCTTTATGCTCACCCTACTATTTATATTATTTTTTTCAGGTTTTGGAAATGAACTGGTGGATGACAATCCACCTCAAGCTTGAAAGTTGTTAGAAGGTTGTTTGCTATTTTGTATTTTGACCGTTCTATGTATATTTGTAGTTGTGGAAATTAATGTAACTAAATTAGTATTCATGGCATTGTAACTTAAGAACGAACTTATCTTTTGTTTGATGTAAATGAAACTAGTGGAATTATGGTATATGTTTCCATGCAATTGTATCATGTAACGTTGTAAGACATGGACTTTAAATATTAATCTTGTATTTTGGGACTGTAATTATGATAATTTAGATTAATTGGTGTGTGGATGTTCCACCATGAAAGGAACTATGTTAAGGTATAATGAACGGATGAATGGGATGCTAGATGATTTTATGTGTTTTGTGTATTGGGACAGGTTGTTGAAGACCCATTTTTAGGGGAGGTTATGCCGAATTTTTTTTAAATTTTGGCATCAACTAGGGTCGTTACATAGTCGCAATTAAAGATATCAATAGTGATATTAAGAATATTGCTAAAAACCAGAAAATAATCATAGACTCTTTAAAATCCCTTAAAACCGATATCCAAAAATTATTACAATAGTTTTATGAGCACCAGTAGTCCTGATTATTTAACCGCGTTACCTGAACTTTACAAAATTGATAAAGAACCCATAGGATTTACAAGCTTTAAAACAGATGTATAATCAACTAATATACATATTAGACAAAATAACTTTTTAATTCAGTTATTACTCCAGTTATCTGATAAAGTTAATAAAGTTGAAGAGAAATTAGAAGTAATACAAGAAAGTATTCCCAAAGAATCTTCTAAAGAATTATCTGAATTATCAGATAAAATAAAAGAAATAAAATTGTCAGTCAATAACCAGTCCTTTCCTACAACAACCAAGCGTGTAAATTTATTACAACCTCAACCTCATAAGCAAATACCACAATGGCCATTATCCTTAGAAAAGCCAAAGAAATAATTAGAGTAGAAGATTTATATGATAATGAACATGTTGCTAAAAAATATATAGAACAAGAAATGAAGAAGGTAAAAAATAAAATTAATCTTTATTCTAATAATTTATTAGATTTTCAGAGCAAGATATATAATCATTTTAGCCAAAGAAAATAAGTGCAGTTAATAATCAAGTTATTTTAGACCTTATAACACCCGAAACATGCCAAGAACTAAATAATAATAATTTAGAACTTATGCATTTAGGCGTTATAATGATAGGATTAGTATGATTAAATAGAGCAGAAACCGGAACTAGAGCACTTGCTTATATTTATGATGACTGATGGAATAACCATCAACAAGCACAAATAGCCAGCACCGAAATAGACTTACCCGACAATGCCGCAATAGTAGGATGTATTCCCAATTATACGATGACTACTAGAGAATTCAGTAAACATATTAAGATAGCTATATCTACGAAAGGATATAATATGACAGGACAATTTGAAAATTTATTAGTTAATACTTTATTTATGGGAAAGGAAGTTAATCAGTATAATTTAAAATTTAAAGCCCAATTTAGTGAAATAGTTAAACCTTTTAGTAGCAAATATGTCCAGATGATAGAAGCCAGAAAAGTAAGCAGTATTACCCATGAAGGAACAGAATGGAAATTACCTAAACTTACTACTACACCTAAAAAGATTCCCGAAAATAATATGATATATGTTTCAAATAACAGAGATGCTAGCATAAGGTTTAGTAATTATAAAAGACAAGACAATTTAATTGATGATACTCAAGAAGACTTCTTAACTACATTAATCGAGATAGAATCTCCTGAAGAAATAAATGTCCTTTATGATATATTAGAAGATGAAATTCTAGATAAAATAATATACGATTTTGATAATTTAGAATTTAAAGCATTGGAAGACAAGTATCCAGAACCTAAATACCAACTTATCGAAAGTATTTATTTAGGACAAGGAAATAATGATGATATTAAGAAAAATATTCTAAGCGTCGGATTTGAATCCTTCTATACAGCATTAGAATTAAACACAGTCAAAGAAGAGTTAAATGTAATAGAATATAGAGAAGGGAAAGTACCAGAAGGATCAAAATCTCAGTCAATCGACCAAAAAATGAGTGACCAAAGAAATACTAACACCTCAGGTAGTAATACCCTAAGTGATAACTTTACTACTGGACAAAGACTAAATCCCTCACGAGAAACTTATGTAGAAAATAGAAGTATACCAGATATGTACACATTAACACAATATCGTAGACAATATAATAATATACCAGCGCAATCATCAGGAACAATATTAGACATAGCACCGCACGATCCCCAAGACTGGGCAAAGGTAATTGAAAATTGGGAACAAGATTGTATTCGGCAATCTATTTTGACCAATTTTGACAATAGAACTCAAGCCTTAACCTATTGTGAAACCTTATTAAGATGAACCATTCATGATTGGTGGCAAGCTTATAAAGTAATTTATCCAAATGATTATGCCATCTTACGTGATAATTTCCCCATTCAAGGCTTTACAAGCCTCATTAAAAAAGTATTAATTGGTGAAGACAGATTATTAAATGACGCCTTAATAAAACAAAACGAAGGTTTACGTAATTTAGAATTATTACAGATTTGTGATTTTAGATACATAAAAAACTATACCAATAAGTTTTTTGAGTATTTTGCAGCCACTGGTAAAACAGGTGATAAAACA